TCGGAATTATCATCAACCTTGTTTCTTAGCCTTTTTTCAAATATTAAAACATCTCCCTATCCCCTTGGCAGTTTTTATTTTTCTCTTTTCCTCTTAGATTTTCTTTTATTTATTTTTTTCCTCGTAGTTTTCTTAGCTTGTAAAAACGCAGGAAAATACCATCTGAGCTTTTAATATAATCACTTATTTAAAAAGAAATAGCATATGTACTTTTTATATTCACTTACCCATACATAAACTTACCCATACAGTAAAGGAAAGTATGGCGGTCGTGGAAATTTTTTAATCTCAGTTTTCAACGGAAATACACGTTCTGAAGTCCTCTGAGTCCTAATAACCAAGCCCGGAAAAATAATCTGATTGCGTGTGTTACCATTCTAGCTCAAAAGCGAAAAGTCGTACGCAAGTGAAATTGCGAATGAAATTGAAACGAAAAATTCAAAATCGGCTAACCGGAAATATGGACTAAATATGGACTAAACACATTTTTGCGATTTTGTCGAAAACGGCTCTAACGATTTTGATTAAATTCAACATATCGATGTAAAATTGAGCAATTTTAAATAAAAGGAGTTTTTATTCAGGTTGATGTTCTCTAACAGGGCTTAAATGGCCAATTTTCAAAATTAGCTTCCCCTAAACTACCTTTAATTTCTTTTATTTGAAACAATTGACCATTTCGCATTAATCTCTAGTATAAAAGACAGATAAATATAAAATATGAAAGCATTTGATAATCAACTAAAGGAGAAATAAGAGATCGTAAGGGAGAATAGTTGTAATTGAGGAACCAAAGGAATCCGAGCGCACCCGAGCTCGCCTGAAAGATTTAAACATGCTTCCATATGTAACATGAACTTAATATTATGACCCCGACATTATTATGTTAATATACATTTGCGGTTTTCATAAATATTACTGTTGACATTATTTAATATTTAATTGTATAAATTACAGCGTTATGAATATTAAAATCTGTATATATATAAGGGTGCTTATAAAAATAAAAATACACACAATGAAATATAAATAAATATAGCTATGATTTTTACTTTCACTTCCCCTTTTCTGAAAATACTTATTTTTGCCAAGAAGAGGGTGTTAAGTGAAAGTTTTGTGATGGGCGCACTGTACCAGATTTTTTATCAATATTCTAAAAAAAGTATTTTTGAAAATTATATTTTCATAGTATTTTTTTGTAAAATTGTATTGAAAATTGTATTTCATAGTATTCCATCGTATTTTCAAACTAAAGCGTATGTAATGGCAGAAGTCTTTAGGTCAGAATTTTCTTCCATCTTCTTTATTTCCTTGATAAATGAAGGTTTTAATGTTCCTATTTACAAATAAAATCAAGTAGCTATTGCCAAATATCTGCTCAAAATAATGAGCTAGATTAGGTTGTTCTACTTCCGAAAATACTTTTGAAATATTCTGAAAAAAATATTATTTAGCATGAGATAAATTTTGATCAAGAGAAGATTATTAGAAACGATTATATATTGTATTCAATAAAATGTCTACAATAGTAGATCTCGAGGTCATTTTCTTTTCAGATGCCTCAGAAGGTTAACAGGTACTGAAGAGGAAGCAAGGTCAGAAACGAGATGGTAACAACTAAATAATATTATTCGCTTTATAATGGGTTATATGCATGTATATGATATACGACTTACTGATAAGAACGGAATGTTTTATCAGGTGAGTTTTTTTTGTAGACCACCCTTTGCCAGAATTTTGTGATGAAATTATCTTCTGATTTAAGTGGAAAGCAAATGGATATCCATTATTATCAACAATCTCATTTTTATTTTATTTTTTTGAGAGAGAGATATTGTAACCTGTATCATCATCATTAAATGGACAAAGCTTACCGATCTTCAAATTGTAAATATTCTGTTTCCGATAATTTTCGTAAAATAAAAAAGTTGTTGGTCAAGATAAGTGAAACCATTCACGAAGGTTTAGACGGTTGAAAATTATTTGATAAAAAGGGGTCTGTGCCGCGGACTATACCTGACACTGTAAAATATTATATGTAACTTACATAGTATTATCTAATACGTAAATATATTACGAAGTGATATTAGTTAGATAGGAAATTACTATATTCTGGGACAAAGAACTTCTGGCCTAAAGATTTGAGATCAATAAATAAAATTTTAAAAAACATTATAGCAAGCTATATACAAAACTAAAATTCACTAGATAAAAAAAAATTAAACTATGTATACAACACTTAAACCAAGAACACTTAAAACTATATACAATGGTAAACCAGTATCAATATACACTTCAAGAAAAGAAAAAAGATAAAATAACAAAATAAATTAATAAATAAATTATTCTCATAAATATGCTCTACGTATCTACTAAGTAAAAATAAAGCTAAATTTGTCAATAAAATGCCTAATTATGTTTATTTGTATATACGAAAAATAGTAGTAATAAAAAAAAAAAAAAGACGAGTCTCACAGAGAGTAGAAAATTCATGTAATATCACTAGCAAAGAACAACATTATAATTAATGTTGTTAATTAATTATACAGGTTAGCAGATATGTGCCTATTTTTGAACATTAATTGGAATAGAAGGATTTTTTAATGTGGATACTGAGGGAGCATACAGAATTTTGATAGGGAGAAAATTCCTGAAATTGAAGAAGCGGGCGACAAAGGAGACAACAAAAGCGACAATGAAGCAGGTCTGTGAGAAGATATGTAAAGGTGAGAAGTTCAAGATGTTTTGGAAAGGAGATGAATTGAGGGCTTGAATTGCAGAAGGTTGTTAATTATTGTTTGTTTTATGAAGAAATGTACATAGAAAACCTATATTATGATAAAGAATAAACGCTTTCCTTTTAAAGATGGTCGACTGTATGGTAAGCCTCGATTGGATCTTGCCTTCTAGACGTGGATCACTAACTTGGTACACCGCTCACGCCTCAGTGCCGTGGAGTCTATTGAGTCCTCCTCGCCGACACAGTTCCCCAACCTGTTTGTCCTACAGCTCATCAGTTATGCCTTCTCGTCTTTCGCTCTTCCTCTATCATTTATCAATGTCCTTTTTTACCTCGGAATGTGACCATTTACCTTTACCTTTTTCTCTTCCTGTCTCCAGAAGGATTAGTCCTGGCAAAGGGTTCCTGAAGGTTGTAATAAATTAAATATATTCGTCATCGCTACTCTTTGTCAAAGTCAGATTCGTGTCCATTCATCTCCTTTCTTCGTCAGAGATCGCCACCGTCTCTCACATTCACACTCTTTGACACCCGACTGAGGGAGAAATATCGAGTGTCCCCGACACCTCAGCGATAAAAAACAGGCAGCCATCACGTTTTAGATTTTTTAAGATTATTCCCAGTTCCTTTATTACTTCCTTTCAGTTTTTTCCCTGTTCTAATGAATGACTTCATTCTGGATCCTTTCATCTTTGTTTTTTGTTTCTTTCTAGTACGGCTGGAGGATATATATTTGTATTAGAGCCGGTATTCCTTCCAATAATCAGAAATAATAGTCCGTTGTATAGACCTCTTTTTATCAAATTATTAACATCGGCCTGAAACATAGTGAATGGCTTAATTTCATCGTAACCTACAAATATTATATTTACGAAAACTCTTGGAATTGGGAGGTTTTTATTCTAGAGGATACAATTTTTTTCTATATCGTATTATTTTAAAATTCATATTTTTTCTGTACGTATTTTAATATTATATGTATTTTTTCCATTTAACGTTTTGCTATATCTATTAGGGATAGGGTGAATTTAATTTTAATTTTAATCGACTTATTTAAACACCATATCTATTTCTCTCTATCTCTCTATGGGTATGTGAGCTTTAATTTAATTTTAATCATATTTTCAAAGAAAATTATTTTTATTTTATTTGTGTTTATTGTTTTTACTTAAATTACTGACAAAATTTCTTTCAACTAACTTCGCAATCGTGATTTCAATTACGTATTTTAGCGTTTCATGGTGTAGGCAAACGAGTTATATTAACCTATTAGTTAGTAGAAGATATTTACTTGATATGTATTCTATTATTTTTAATATTGATGTATTGGAAAAGCGATAATATAGCTTAACCTAACCTGAACAATACTTGTCAACATCCGTCTAAAACTTCGTTAAGGCTTCATCTTATCGTAGCCCGGGAACGAGGCATCTTCGATCTGGATATCGGTATACTTTGATTATCTAATGGCGATCTATCGTAAGATAATTTTTATAACAAAATCGAGGAAGATATGACCTAAAATAATAATTGCCTGTAAAACGTGACCTTCATCCCGAACATGTCAAAATAACAATGTTATAGATGCTCAACGGCCCAATATTTATGTAGGTTTTAGTACCTCAATAAATTAATTAATTTTACTACATAAAATAAGTTTTATACTTGAAGGACTTCACATTATTATAATAATAAAAATTCTCATATTGATCATTACAGTCCTACTTTATTTTTATTTTTTACACAGATGTATCCGCCCTTAGGCCATTTTTAAGGCATAAAACTCGTTTAAAAAAAAAATTTAAACAATTGGACAGAATTGCCCTTGCCATCTCAACTTAATAAGTCAGATACTGGTCCAATTAATTTAATTAGAAGACGCTCTTTTTATGAGAATTTTAGTTTGATAAAAAATTTATAGGTTAAGATAACATGAAGCCATTCACGAAGTAAAAAAAGATGTCTCTTTCGGATGTAAACAAGATTGTTAATACTCGGCTTCTTTCGACATTATCGGAATCTGGAAATAGCGAAAGATAAGTATTACATAAATTATATAAATTTGTTTATGAAAGTTTTTATTATTTTTAAATTTGATGTATCCATTTTAATTCATGAACTTAGTTCTCTGCGTTGCGCAGGATTTGCACATGAGTACGTTGTTTCTTTAACTTTCGTTCAGCGGTAAATTCAGTCGTACGGAATTAGAGGTGTCTGTTTTAAAGGAGCTTGACGACAATATATAGAGATATTATATCCCATGGCAGAGAGCATACAGACCAGCAGAGGCACAGGGAGCAGACTAGGAGCCGGCGGAGGTGGTTGGTCCTCGAAGATGGAGCATGCGCAGTGGCCCCGCGCGCAATCAATGCACCGTTGGCTATTGTATCAACGGCCCGCCCCACTCCGCCCGTTCCCATGGCTACCTCCTCTCTTCGTCTCTCCCACTTTTACTCTCTCTTTAGCACTGTAATTACTCCCTTAACTAAACCCAAATATACTTATTACCTCTCTGTTTGCTAATTGTACACCATGAGTTACAAAAAAAAAAAAAAAAAATATATATATATATATACCTACATACAAACCATAATTACTTAACGTTTCCATCATTACAAATAAGTAGGATTTGCAGTCTTCATATACTTTATTAGGCTTCCCGGCGTTTTGACCAAAGAATTTGGGTCGTAGTCAAAGCTAAAAATTATGAATTATGAAAAATGAGATACAGATTGTAGTATGGTATGTAAATAAGAGATGGTAAAATATATGGAAAGTTCAAATGAAATAATGGTAATATAAATATACAAATAATATTGTTGGCGTCACTCCGTCACAATTACCGGGGGAGAGGGAGGGAGGAGAACAAAATACATCGTGAACTTTCCTTTAGCGGACAATTTTTATAAATCCCATCAAATCTTAAATAATTTTATAGTATCAAGGTATCCTGAATAACGGGCACCAAATCAGTGTTGTTTTTTTTTACTTATTAGTGTTTTATATGTTTTTAGAATGTTTTAGATTAGGTTTAATCTGTTTAATTTATTTTGATAGAGTAACTGGAAATTTAATTGATGCCAGCTAATGGAGCCTTACATTGGACCTATTTCCAGCAGCTGACAGATGTGTACTAGCATAAATTGAAAGAGATATACGATGTCTTAAAAATGGTATCATCCACTACTCTCTCGTTAAAAGAAGAAAAAATACTAGTTAAGCAGAGTAAATGCACAGTAAAAATAGATTCTTCTATTACCATTAACATGTTTTTGATATTGTCTAGCATTTACTGATAAATTTAAGTTATATTGGTTAATAAGGTAATTTTTAGTAATATCTATTTTAAAATAAAGAATGTAAAATTTCAATACTTTCTTCTTCATTCTCGTACTCATCATTATTAGCTGTAGCAACATTCAAAATTGAACAGCGTCACTAGCGTTGCCCAAATGCGAGACCGAGACGAGTCTTGATCTTGCAAACTCAGTCTTGGACATGGTCTTGGCCTTGCGGAACAGTCTTGCATTTATTTATTAGCTTATTATTAAGACATATTACTGTAGTTTTTTAGATAGGAGAAACCTAACTAAGCCCGAATGAAAAATTAGATGAATTAAATGCAAAAGTATATTGGTTATACCAATTATTAACATATAGTAACCTAAAATTGTCAAGTATTAGTAACTATTTGTCATAATTTTTATGTAAAATTTTTTTTTTACCAGTCATGTTCTTGGTCTTGCAACAGGCGGCCTTGGTCTTGGTCTAGCAAAGTGCCCAACCAAGACCGATTTTTGGGCAACACTAAGCGTCACCTACCGGTGCAGCATAACTATTCTCTAAATTTACAATTTTTTAAAAATGTATTTGGTTGTTTCATGGATTTTAAATGCGCCTTGGCAATGTGAGAAGTAGTTGTATAAGATGGACTTGAGAATATCAATATTTACGTTTTTGCCAAAAAAAGGTCAAAGAAGTTTCCTTAAGCCTCCCTGCAACTGGTTTGCCCTAAGGGTGAGTAGGAAATCACATAATATATGTTTTCTGAGAACATTTATTTTGATTATTATAGTTTAATTTAATTATACGTATACTGGAAATTCAGTTTTACGATGGAGATTATATTGAATATTTAATAGTTGACCGTTGCATTATAAAGGAAGGAGATGGTCCGGGGTTGCGGTCATAAATAGGCTAAATAGTTTTACCACTATTTAGCCTATTTATGACCGCAACCCCGGAACATCTCCTTCCTTGATAGAGATTATAGTTTCAATTTTTCGTTCTTAGTTATCTTATATAATTGACCAACTATATGTTAACTGACACCAATCTAATATAAGTACATGTGAAAAACATAGGATCTACGAATTATCAGCTCAATTCAAAGTAAAAAAGAAATGAGATATTTAAAAGAAAAAGACAATTTTCTAAAACTTTCGAGTTAACCACTGAGAACTCGTAACATTGCTCTATAGAAATATTTAAATTAATCCTCTTTATAAAATGTAGTCCCTGTCTTATATCTCTTATGAAATGTAGTCGTTTTATATAAAATTAAAACATTTAGGACAAAGAGACCTTGTTTTGCTAATATTAGGTATACATTTTGCTTAACTTTGACATTCTCAAATGAAGTTTTGTTTAAATAAACTTCTTAAATCATTACACCATTATATTGCTCACCTTTGAGAAATGTTTTAATTTGGCTTAATCGAAAATTAATAATCAATTTAAAAAACGCAAATATCTGACATATCAAGCAAATTTTTTTTACAAACTTGTAAGATTTTCAGTTTTTTATGGTCTTGTTGTGAACACGTATCATGAAATAATATCAATAAATTACCTCATGAACATTATTGTTTCTGTATTACCAAGTAACAATAAGCTTTCGTGTAAGAATGGAATTAGGAGGTTTATCATTTCAACTTTCTTTAATAAAGAATAATGAAGATCAGATTATAAGAGGTAAAGTCGCACTAGTTCAGTGCGAGTCGCACTACTTCTACTAACAGTCTGTGTTTTCCCCCCGTCCTAATAGATTTGAAAGAAAATAAAACGTAATATAAAACAAAAGGATTGCCGAAAATCCAATAAAAATAATTTTTAAAAATAGTTATTAATTTTAATGACAAAAAACTAAATAATATAATAGAGTTAAAAATCATTGATCTACCTAAGATTTTTCTATATTCAGTCTTGCCCTCCTCTTCCCCCTAATATGTAGTGCCCTTGTTCGCCTGCACGCAAGAAAAGAGGAAAATAAATAAATAGTATTACCGCTTTTTTTTTTTTTTAAATCCTTTAAGGACTACTTAAACATCACTTTCTATAGTTTCTTTCTTCTTTTTATTTTCTTCCAGAGTTATTTGTTTGTTTGGATGTCTAGGCGCAAAACATTCAGGTCATCAGCGCCCGAATTAGTAAAAAATAATAGACACTTATAGATAATAAGATATAATAGATAAATAAATAAACTAAAAACAAATAGTAATAAAATCAATAAATGAATTTAAATTAATAAATCAATGAACTTTTAAAAATAATAAATAAATCTGCAAAGGATCATTAGTTATAAACTTGTCATATATGTTTTATAATTTTTTTTCATTTTCTAGGAGCTTCATAACTTTAGTAAGGATTTCTTCTTGGTTTTCCAGGGATGTTGATATATTCTGGGGTGTTCTGAGATCTTTTTATATCCTCACTTATTGAACAAGTCCACTGTACTTTATGTATTTTTATATATGTTATGAATTAGGTTAGGAAGAGAGAGGAGATAATAAGAGGAGTAGGAAAAATGTATAAGGGAAGAGAAAGGGTATAGAATTGTGATAAATGAATGAAAGAAATAATAAAAAAAATAAATAAAAAGGAAAAATATATATAAAAAATAATACATATATATATATATATATATATATATATATATATATATATATATATATATATATATATATATATATATATATATATAAATATTTTATACTATGCTTACACATATTATTAATCCTATATAATTGTATATTGGTTTTAAAAAATTGTCTGTAATGATTAATAAGTATGCTGTGTTTTTAGCAATCCAATGTAATTGGGCAGCACCCTTTTATGATAATAAAGTGATTCTCTCTCTCTCATAAAAAAACCAAAAAAAAAACCTCAAAATGAAATCCTAAATCGTATAATACATCTTTCGAAAAAAATGTAGCCATTTCTGTTATTATTTCAAATTCTCATTTCAACTTAAATATGTTCTATAAAGTTAGTTTATAAAAAAATATTAGATTTCATTTTTATTTTTAAATTAATCTCAAAGAATTTCAGAGAAAAGAAACTTTCTGTTTAAGAAAAAAAAAAAACGTAGAAAGAGTAACTAGGGTCATTGCCTCTAAATGCCAGAAGCATAATAATGAACTCTCCTTGAGATGTTTGTTTGTGCTCTTAAGGTCACAACCCAAATCAGGTTCACCACAAGGTACACTTTCAGTTCTCTTGTCGAATTTATCACAATGTTAAAAATCATAAAAAAAAAAAAATGCTTTATTAGTGTAGAATATTGTATAGTACGCATGTGCTTTAGTTGTTATTTTGATTAATTTAGTTCTTTTGTTTATATACATTTAGTTTTATTATTATTAGTTTCTGTATTATTTATTTTTATTTATTGTTAACAGAGTGCGAGTGTGCTCTCTTAACACTATTATAAATGTCCTTAACTGTGACAGAATGTAACATTTCTGAATAAATATATTAAAAAAAAAAAAAATAATCTTATTGCCATTAGATGTTTTCGAAGTACGTCTAAAAAAGTTAGAAAATTCAAGCATGTAACCTCTTAGATGTGTACACGTAAAGGCGCACTTTCCACTCTATTTAAAAGGTGATAGACCTCTCTCCCTATCCCCCCAAAAAAATTTTATATTATGCATAATAATTATGCACATAATTATTGTAAAACGAACAACTATAATATTTTTTTTATTTATAGGTATGTTTGAAAAAATGTTAACAAAGTATTTGAACGTTTGAAACGTTGAAAAAGTTTGAGGCAGTGAGAAGATCGAAGGATTGATGCGTAAATTTTCAGCGGAAAATGTGATAAAATTTTCATGTTAAAATAAAAGAGTCCATAAGAATGAATAATAAAATCCTAGGATATATTGCTATATAATACGATTATATTTGTATATAATAGGAACATATACTTACGCGATAAAATACCTTGGCTTGGCTAACTAGTCGACTTTTTCCATTTTCTTAATTGATTTTAGTCAACATATTTTATTCATTTATGTAGATTAATTGACATTGCAATTGATTTTATTTTTTTACTTTGAAATATTGGGGAGGCGAATGTGAAGGGGGAAAACCCTATCCCTCCCCCTTTGCGTAAGTCTGCCTCTATGTATATTTGTAACTTCGATTTCAGAACATGTTTCCTGTTCAACATAGTTCTTCTTCCTAATA